TTTTTTTTTTTTTTTTTTTTTTTTTTGAAATGTTCTAATTGAGGCTGCAAGTAAAATCTACTGAAATTTTCTTGTATTAAGGGATTTTTACAAAAATTACCTCTGAGATCCTGCCCAATTACCGAAAAAGAAACAAAGCGAAAAAGGAACATGTAATCCTTCAAATTATAATAAACCTTATCGGTACTTTATGTAATTCTTCTAATTATAATGTAGGGCGTGCTTGGATACAAACATATCTGCTCAAAACGATTTTTTTTTATTAACCATGATTAATTTTAAAAAAAAAGTTGATATTGTTAGTTGTTTGTGGGATTTTGAATTTTTATTAAAATAATATTTAAAATAAAATAATTAAAGTTAATTTGATGTTAAAGTAGGAGAGATATGATCTGAAGTTATGGTTAGTTAAAATTATGTGAGTGAATGAATAGTGAATTAAAGTTGATGTGATGTGTAACAATGATTGTTTGATATTATTTAATTATATTGTTAATATTGAGAATAGTGGGTTGAATTAGAGTTGAGTTAAATTGAGTTATTTATGTACAAAGCTGGTGCAATTTGGCAGCCGTAAATATTGCTTTAGTTTAGTAAATAGTCACCCCATGCTTGTTTTTTGTAAATTCAGTTATCTTGGATTAAAAAACAATTCCTCTGTTTCATCAAATTTATCTCATCTTCCGAGTTAAAGCCTCTTTATTTATTTATTTTAAACTGCTTTCTGGTTCTAAACTAGGCTCTGAACAATCTCGGAAGTGTATATGTCGACTGTGGCAAGCTAGATGCCGCAGCCGATTGCTACATCAATGCCCTCAAAATACGGCACACGCGGGCCCACCAGGGCCTGGCTCGTGTCCACTTCCTGAGAAATGATAAAAATGCAGCGTACGCTGAGATGACTAAACTGATCGAGAAGGCAAGAAATAATGCGTCTGCTTACGAAAAGAGGTCAGAGTATTGTGAGCGTGACCTCACAAAGGCAGATCTTGAGATGGTCACTCGTCTTGATCCTCTTCGAGTTTATCCTTATAGATATCGCGCTGCAGGTCAGTTTCGTATTGCATTTGTATGAAATTTTTGATCTACTGGCCTATTTTCCTTTGTTTTTAGCCTGCCAGATTCCCTACATATATGGCAAACACTACTTGTGTTTAGTTGAAGTTCAGTCCTGTAATATATTTTTAATCTTCTGACAAAGGTTTAGGATTTTGAAAACAGAAACACTGATTGAGAAATTTTAGCTAAATTACAAAGTTATCCAGTTATCTTTTTTTAATATCACAAAGACCCCGAAAGTTACTACTACTACTTGATTTGTGGATATGTTTTCTGGGTGTTTTTCACCACACTGGTACCTTATAATCTTGCATGAACATATTCAATTAATCCGCTTGAGTGTTCCTTTTTTATGTTAATCAGTGTTGATGGATAACCACAAGGAGAAAGAAGCCATTACCGAGCTGTCGAGAGCTATAGCATTCAAAGCCGATCTTCATCTTCTCCACTTGCGAGCTGCATTCCACGAGCACATTGGTGATGTCATGGGAGCCTTGAGAGACTGCCGAGCTGCACTCTCGGTCGACCCTAACCACCAAGAAATGTTAGAACTTCATAGCCGGGTCAACACGCACGAGCCTTGATACGAGGCTCGTTTGTCAAGAGGAAAGAGGTGAAGAGAAAATAAAATAGAATTTGCCAGAAATTTTGGAAAGTAAATTATGTGAAATTTATTTTCAGGGAAAAAAAGAAGAAGAAAAAAAAAAGGTCATGTAGCTTGTAGGTTTGATAGCAGTGTGCCTTCTTAATGTCCCTTGAAAAACCTTTGTATCATCTTGTTTTTCTCTTCTTCCTCTTTTGCTTATCTGGGTTTTTGTACAACATTTGATATTTTTTGTCAATATAAGCTTTGGTGTTAGATTTAAGTGTTACGAAAATTAATTGAAATTCAAAATAAAATTATCTATGATACAATGCTTCATGACTAATTAATTATACTATGACTTAGATTACAGTGAATCTATGGTATGGTATTGTGTAATGGCCGAGTCAATTGCTAAACAAACAATCCGATCTTGAGTTTGGCTCTAGGTCGACCAATTGGATCGGTTGATTGGATTTGAATTTAACTAGTAAAAAATTAGTTTCTTTTTAACTATAAAAGATCCAAGCCGGGTCAACCAACCAGTTTTTGTTTGTAACGATCTACGCCTGGGTTTGGATCGATACTTTGGGCCGCTTGCTAGAAGACCAATTGGGCTGGTTGCTAAAAGACCAATCGGACCATTTGTAAACGATCTAAGTCTTGGTTTGGGCTGATACATCGACCCAAGCTTTAGTTTTGCTTTAGGTAAACCAATTGGGCCTTTTGTAAACGATCCAAGTATGGGTTTGGGTCGGTACTTCCGGGTTTGGCTCCAGTTCGACCAATAAATTTTGTTGTTAACAAATGATAACTATTGTATAAATAACTTAGGATGATGCTACGGTCCCATTACGGAACCATTCTGTCGGAGTTTGTAACCGTTAGATCAATATCCTCGACAGTTACATGAATCTAACGGTTACATGATGATCTAACGGTTACAAACCTAACAGAATGACTCCGTAACGGGACTTTAGCATTTCCTAATAACTTAAAGCTGATAAAAGATAAGACAAACTCACATTACACCGACTAGTAAGAGAAAAAGACAACCAACACCTAAGAAAAAACTCATGAAAAATGGACAAAACACCTCTAAGAAGGAGACTAACCTAGACACAACTCAAACTCGACTGATCAGATCCAAAGCCTAAGTTTTGCTTGGGTCGACCAATTGGGCCATTTGCTAAACGAGCCAAGTTTGGGTTTGGCTCCGGATCCGCCAATCTGGCTGGATCCACATTTGGGACTCGACCAATTAGATCCAAAGCATGGGTTTTCCTTGGGTCGACCAATTGGGAGTCTGGGTCGGCCAATCGAGCCGAATAGGATTCGAAAGAAATTGGTTTTGCTATTGGTCTTGGAACAGAATATTCTAGAAACATAAGTGTAACGAACTACAACAACAGAAATATAAATTTAATAGAAACTGAAAAGGAAAAAATACACTAAAAAACCCAAATATTTTCACTAACTATTATCAGAAAATAACTAACTTGTGTTGTTTTACAGGTGAAGAAGCAAGATTTTCAACAACCATAAGCCGCTTCAAGCAGGGATTATCTCTATACAACCGCCGGAAAATCATCTGTGGCCGGATTTCATTTTTTCCGTTTACAGGTTACTGAATCATATGCATTTATCACGATTTCGAGATAGTTTTACATTTGCGTGGGTCGAGATTCTAGACTTATAGTATAACCAAGTAAGAATGGTTGTCCATATATGCTCAGATACACCTCGAACTGCTCGAAATATGGGTTTTGTTTACAATCGCCGCCGGCTACAGGTGGAGATTAAGTCAGCTTGTAGTAATGAGAGTGATTGCTTTTGGGAATTGATGTTCTGAATAGTAAGTTCAAAACTTTCTGACAATGTTTGCATGTTATGTGTTTGTTTAAATGCCTTCAACAATAATATGACTAATTGCTAAAAAAGGCGTGACCTTTTTCATCTCTGCAAACAAAAACTAAACCTTCTCGAAATCGCAATAATATACACAAATGTTGTCATTTCGAAATTGCAAGACGAATCACCGGGCCGGGGAATGCTGACGTGTCATTCTACATGGCAAAAGTTGCCAGCGTCTAGTTTCAATTGCTGAAAAAAATTAACCAACTTTATTAAAATTGCAAATTCAATCAATTTTCTTTTTTCTAATACCTAAGAGATATATGAGCCTGAATTCCTCTTTGATTATCCATGTTGTCTTAGCTTGTGTCTCATTGTGCTGGAAATATTTTTGTATTGGTTTTTGCAGGAACTTAAAGAGTGTTGAGTGAACTTCTTCAAGATGAACTGGCTTTTGGTTTCAGTGTTTATTATATCTTTCTCCTTTTCCGTTTTATATGCTGGACATGAGGTCACGGTTTCGTGTATGATGGAATATGAAGAAGGTGGGGCCCTTGCTGTTTTCAGCTCACCCGAGTGTTCTCAGTGGGGTTTTTCTCCTAAATCTTTTGAAAACTCCACACAGAATTGCGATTATGCAACACATCAAGGGCGTAGGGAGTATCAAGAAGACCGTGTTACGTGCAATCTTGACATGAAACTACCTTTCTCAGGTGATCATCACTTGCATATCTGTCCATCTCACTTATTGTGATGGTTTTGTTGAATTTTTTTATCTAGCTTTGATATTATGTTCTGTAATAACTGACTACTATATTAGTAAAGCCTAACAGAAACTATGTTTTGATGGAAACTTCATGACATTTTATGCTTGTGTATATATTCATTCTCACACTTCTATTCTTAATAGATCTTTCCTTTTTTTTTTCTTCCCCTTTTTGTGTGTGTGTGTGTGTTCTCTTTGGGAAAAGAAGCATTTGGAATCTCACGAAACCTCGACTAAATGCAGCTGAAGGTTCACCTGGGGAGATTACTGTTGGTATTGCAGCCATATTTGATGGCCATGGAGGCCAGGAAGCCAGTGAGATGGCGTCGAAAAAACTTGCTGATTACTTTTTCTTGCATGTTGTGTTCACCGCACACAATTGGACACTCTCAAGCAATAACGAGAGGTCTGTGCCTTTTGGAGAAAACATCAGACTAAATTCCGAATTTGCATCTTTCTGATTAAACTTGGATTTTAAATTAATCTTGTTCGAGATAAAGTGGGAGTTAGCTGTTGTTGTTTAGTCTATCCAATCTTCAGTCTTCATGTTAATGCAGTTCTCGGAGGTCACCAGTGATTGGTCATCACTCACTTTGTTCGATTCTAGAGAAATCTTTATTAAGAACTATTAAAGACATTGATTTGGAATTTTCAAAGGTATATATAAATATTCATTTCCGATTATCATTGTCGATTTTGCTGGTGTCAAGTTTGATTTTCTTGCTTTTAGGAAGCGCTGGACAAACGATACATTTCAGGGTCAACTGCCACCATTGTTCTTTTGGTCAACGGCAAATTTCTGGTTGCTAATATTGGCGACTCGAAAGCCCTTTTGTGCTCTCGGAAAAATCCCTCAACCCATGATACTGAAGGTTCTATGAGCAGACAATATACTAATGCCATAAAAAACACTGCATTTTCTTTGTATATATTGTGGCATTCGTGAAATCTTTTTATTATCTCCCTCACTCTTTTATATGTAGGTTCTTCACCGGGGGAAATTTATACTGAGGAACTAACAAGAGATCATCATCCAGATAGGGAAGATGAAAAGGCGCGGATCGAAGCATTTGGCGGCTTTGTCACTAAATCGAGCATTCCACGTGTCAACGGCGTATTGGCCGTCTCCAGAGCTATCGGTGATGTGTACTTAAAACGGTTAAGTCAGCATGTTACTATTTGGAATTTTCACACGCATTGAGCTATTTTGCGATTTTGAAAGATAGTCGGGTCTTCGTTTTTTAAATAATAGTCGAGCTTATTTGCTGTTATTTCTAGATATGGCGTCACAGCTGAACCTGAGCTCACTGGATGGAGACCTTTTACCCCTGAGAACAGCTTTTTGATAGTGACATCAGACGGTGTATTTGAGACATTGGCTCCAGAGAATGTGTGTGAGATTGTACACGCGATTTTCGAGTCCTCGTCCGAAGATATCACTAAATCCTCACTTGCCGAGCACATAATTCGCAGTGCATTTAGGTCGGGCAGCACGGATAACCTGTCGGCTATAGTGATTTCTGATATGTTACATACTTGCAAAGAGAAAAGATGCAATTAGGAGTGAGATTTTAGTCCTTGACCTATTCCACTTGTATTTCAAAGTTTTGGTTGTAGCATTTCAATATAAAGATGGTTTTTTTTACTGATATTTACCATATAAAGCAAGAACATTTGACACAACCAATATTCCACTAAGGGAAAAAGGTCCTCAAAGGCCAATATTCCACTAGAAACCAATTGACTGCTAAAAGCCTTAACCTGACACTAATAGCAAGTTCCCTCTAAACACAAACTCACATGAAAGTGTACAAATACATGACACGACTAAGTGATATGAATTACCGAAAGAGTAATTCACATCCTGAAGCATATCTTGCCATCAACAACAAAGAAATACGGGCACATAATGGGCATAAGTCGAGCAAGAAACAAAGCTGGACCAGTCAGAACTTTTCAGGTCGAGTCCACTTGTAAACCTGGACAACAAAAAAAAAAATAAAAAATAAAAAATAAAGTTGAATATGTCTTTTATGACATTAGCTAGTGGAAAAGAAGCCTTAAGATGAAGATCTCACTTGTTTTACTCGGACCAGACGAAATACAAGCATCCTGTAGTGAATCATTCTCCAGTGAACTGCACCGCGGGTCAATTGTACGTATCTTATTACACACTTGATGGTTAATGTACATATCCAAGCTGGCACACGAGCTCAATCCTCCCTTTCTCTTGCTCTTGAACCTTCACCTAACAGAAATGAGGATCCAGAAAGAGAAAAAAGATGCATTTTTCCAGTTTATTATCTTTTTTATTATGTAGGAGTCCATGCGGGATATATATACCTGTCTTTCTTCTTCTCAAGATATCTCTGCAGTGAAGCTTTTCTTCCCGAAGGAACTTCGACTAATTTGAAAAAAGATGAAACATATAAGAAAAAATTTTGGATAAGATGCTCATCTTTCATTTTTAACAGTCACGACAACCAAGTTACACAGCTTTGAGTTATAATAAAACAGTTCGGATTGTATATTTTGACAATGGGAATCTAATAAGTCAAGAATATCAGAATAGGAAATAAACCAGCCTTCGTTCTTAGAAGTCTACCTCCATTATGGTAATAAAAACAAAAATCGTGAATCTATAAAACAAGCCTTTAGATGTTTCCTGTTGAGATTCCCTACCAAGCTCTAATAGCAGGCTACTGTATCAATAAATTCCCAAAAAAAGGCTGCTTTATGGAGCTCATTATAAAAGTCAACGGGTATATTCTTACCAGGGGTCCCTTCAAGAAGCATGATACTTTCTTCTCCAATAGCTAGCGAGTTGTCCCTCATGTTCGCTGCAAAGGTTCAAAAATCCATTTAACATTACATTATTTGTAGACATTCGACAACATAATTTTCAGTTGGAAAAACACACCAAGAAGGTGATGCATACATTGAAGAGAGAGAGAGAGAGAGAGAGAGAGAGAGAGAGAGAGAGAGATAATATAGAACTAGCGTTTACATGAGCACGAGAAAATAATCTAACTTTAACTCAACCCCACTATCCTCAATATTTTCAATAACTAGGAAGATGCACGTGATATAAATTTTTTTTACTCAAAATTAATTTTATTATATATTTAATTTAATAGCACAATATAATTTTCTTTTCATTATTTAACAAAAAATTGTGTATTTTATGATAAAATATAAAAATTTAATACTATTAACAGAACTTTATGACAAATGAAATTAAATAAAAAATATTGGTTAGAAAATTTAAAATAAAATTAATATTTTTTTTTTGAAATTTGAAATGCTGAAGAAATCTATGTCGTCCTTGATTTTGTTATCTAGTAATATCATCCTTATGCTTAAAATAATGATCATTATTATTGTAAAAATAATATCTTTTTTAATGTCTTCCTTTTGCGTCTTACTACTTGAATAATAACTTGAATTTACTATAACTATAATTTGTAATTATCATTTGCTTATTGTTGATTGGAAGCTGACACTGTGGTTGAATGTTTCATTCTCTATTATTTTGATTATAACGGTTGCAAATTCAATTATATTTGCACGTGTAATATTTCGTAATATTTAGATATATATTTTCTCTCTGTATATAATGATATAAGAGATATAAATATTTGAAAATATCTTTAAAGTTGTAAATATTTAAAAAACAATTACTTGAAATTAGGAACAATAACATCCTTGATTGATTAAAGGTTCCTATCTATCTATATATAATGTTGTAATATTGGTTAATTGAAGGTGCTTATCTATATATATTGTCCAAAATAAATTATTGTTACATCTTCTAACACTGTCATACATGCATTATCATTTTCGTTCATGGATTTTCAAGACTATCTAAAAAGTGAAAAAAATAATAATTCTATTTTAAATAAATTGTAAAATCATGATTCTTTCATCTTTTACTTTTATCTTAACATTATTTTATATATTTGTAATTATCATTTGCTTATTGTTGATTGGAAGCTGACACTATGGTTGAATGTTTCGTTCTCTATTATTTTGATTATAACGGTTGCAAATTCAATTATATTCTCACGTGTAATATTTCGTAATATTTAGATATATATTTTCTCTCTGTATATAATGATATAAGAGATATAAATATTTGAAAATATCTTTAAAGTTGTAAATATTTAAAAAACAATTACTTGAAATTAGGAACAATAACATCCTTGATTGATTAAAGGTTCCTATCTATCTACATATAATGTTGTAACATTGGTTAATTGAAGGTGCTTATCTATATATATTTTGTCCAAAATAAATTATTGTTACATCTTCTAACACTGTCATACATGCATTATTATTTTCGTTCATGGATTTTCAAGACTATCTAAAAAGTGAAAAAAAAAATAATTCTATTTTAAATAAATTGTAAAATCATGATTTTTTTCATCTTTTACTTTTATCTTAACATTATTTTATATATTTGTCAATATTTTTACAAGGTTTATGTTTCCTAGTTTTAAGAAGTGATTTGAAAAATTAAATTTATCTATGATTTATAATAAGATAGTCTATTGAAATAAATTTAAAGTAAATGTAATATTTATTTTTATTTAATTAATTATAATTATTATAACTATATATTTTCTAACAAGTACACATATTTTGAAATTCAAGATTTTAAAATCGAGTATTACTTATTTTATTATATTTTTATAATTACTATATTTTGATTTCTATTACAATTAAAGTAAATAGTAGATTAATTTATGTAACACATATTACCATAAAAGAACATTTATACTGTATGTACATACTACTAACAGATAAAGTTAAATTTTATCATGCATATATTTTAATGAATAATTTAAACAAAGTATTTCTATTAAAACTATATATTTGCACTTAACTAATATTTTTTTTCCATAAAACATTGATATTTTTATGTTGAATAACTATTTTTAATACTAAGAAAAATGAATAAAAAAAAATAGCATACAAACATTTTAATACATTAATATTTAAAAAATTAATTAAAAAAATAACATACAAATATTTGGTAAATAATAAAAAACAATGAGAACCATAAGTTAATTGAATAATATATTTATAATAAAATAATACAATAAGAATAAGAAAGATTAATATGTTATGACGTTGGAAAAAAAACCAGTTAAATAGATAAATGTTTGGTTTCAATAAAAGGTTAGTTCAATTGATTATTTATTTTATTTTTTATTTTTTTTATTGACTTTGCATTACAAGAATTTTTAGAGCATGATTGGATACAAAAATTTCTCAAAAAAATCCAAACATTTTTAACTCAACCACTTTTTTAACTCAACTTTAACTCAACCCACTATCATCAATATTGTCAATATAATTAAATAATATCAATCAATCATTCTTACACACAACATCAACATTAATTTACTATTCATCTACTCACATAAATTTAACTAACTATCACATCACATTTTCTCTCTCTTACTTTTACATCAATTTAATTTTAATTATTTTATTTTAAATATTATTTTATTATATCCACTAACAACTAACCATACCTACTTTTTCAAATTTAACCAACCCAAATCAAAACAAAAAAAAAATTATATCCAAGCATGCTCTTAATATTTGTACAGAAAAAAAAAATCTTACTTTGTAGTTGTGCCAATACATTCATTTAAAAATTTGGATACCGGTAAATTTTTTTTTTCAGTAGATTAATATCATAAAAAGTTACTAATTATAATATACACAAGGAATATTATAAGAAAAAATTGAGTACTATGTCATGACATTCATGATTAAAACATCAAAAAATATGATTTAAAACGTTTTATTTGAAATTATTTGAAACAATTTTATATTAAGTCATGTGTTTTAATGTTTCAGTTATTCTAATTAAAATTTGAATTGTTATTTGACAATTTTGATTGTTTATATTACAAGTAATAAATGTATTTGGAATAAGACATAATATAAATTTTTGGAAGTAACATAATATAATACTTTTAGAAGTAACATTATTTTTTATTGGGGGGTAGTAGTGACATTTCAGATTTTATTTCAATGTGGTTGGATGAGATATTAATGAAGTTATATTATTACATTTATGTCCTTAGATGGTAAAACTTTAGAGGGTAATATGGGCATTTCAAAATTTTCAAGAAATAACTCATCCTTTTAAGGGAGTTATAGATTATAGATAGATATAGATTAAATAACATCTTTCAATCATTCTTACGCATCACATCAACTTCAATTAACTATTCATCCACTCACATAATTTTAACTATATATCATTTCTAATCATTTACCTCCTACTTTTACATCAAATTAATTTGAATCATTTTATTTTAAATATTTATGTAATACATTCACAAAATCCCACTAACCATACTAACTTTTTTCAAATAAACTCTAATTAACACATAAAAACCAGAAAAAAAAAAACCAGTTTTTTTTTTCTAGCTTTTTTATAAACAAGCACGCATTATGTGGAATTTAAAGTTAGCCTCACCTATAGGGGGACGTCGCAAGGTACCATATATAGAATTCTGGTTCATTTTCATGCCGAGAGCTTTTGGGAGTACAAGTGAAGGTTGCAGTATTCTAGCATTATTCAGCTGCTCCTCCGAGAACTCTAGTGGACTGGCTGCAATGTGCATTATCGCCCGTGCCTAATAAGTAATAAACATAAGGATGAATTTCACAAAGAAAAGCTATCAAGAAGCAATGAAATTTGAATTACAAAGTTCATAAGCAAAATGACTGTAGGTAGTCCATTGGTAAACACTTCAATACCTTATCTGCAGGCATATCGTCATAAACATTCACCTTTCCGCCATAAAATATCGTCATTTGCCCAGCTGCAATATCTGTTGTACCTATTGTTCTGGAAGAAAGAACGAAAAACCTTTCATCCGATGAACAAATTTCATGCAAAGCTGTATATGCATCGAAAGCTATATGCAAAACTTGGTTAATAAGTAATATGCACATTGGTTAAGAATTTTAACACACACACACACTAGAGAGATCTGGTAAGAGGAAACAATTTTGAAAAGTTCAAGTCTTTCTACAACAGAAGAATTCTCTTAAGAGTTGAAAAAGGGGGGAAATGGTTTACTTTTGCAAGTGTAAGTGTGCAACTCAATGAACGAAAACTAGTAAACAACCTTGGCCGAGCAGACTTATCCTTTGCGTCTGCAAAACCGCCTGAAAAACACTCTGATGAATCGGGTTTGTTCAAATCACCTATATGGTTAAGCGTAGTCTCCTCTGTCGATACAGAAATTTCTGCATCCCTACTTTTACCTTTAGGAGCCTGCACTTATACAAACTAAATTAACATAACTGCTTAATCAAGCTTAATTAGTAACAGAACAGCTTCAAACATCATCACTAAAACTCAAGGTAGAGAACAGCAATGAAGTAACAGAAAAACAAACAAACAATACTACGCACATTCTCCTTAGCAGCATTATAGCTGCCATGGCCGATGTGATTAAGCCGCTTGTCCGAACCAGTTTTAGAATCAGCTTCTAGAAGCTTCTTCAGCATTATCACTTGCTGAATTGCCTGTGATTTGTTCCACGAAGGTCTCCTCATCCCTACGCCCAAACCCACAAATTAAAAACGGACGAAAATTCGAGACTTGCGCTTAATTTATTCACTTTTTTTTTTCTGAGTTTGAACTTCCTTTGTTCTTCGCCTAACCTTTCTCCTTGAGATAGCGGCGGCAGTCTTCTCGGGTGAGCTGCGCAACGTCATCTTCAGTGAGGTGGTGAAGCGGCTTCTCCAGCAGCGACTTCCCTGGGGAATCTTCCGGTGCCTTGTCCGCAACCGCCTTAGCGGCGTCGGCCGCCTGCGGCGTGCCGTAAGATTCCGGCATCTGCTTCGCCTGAACTGTCACTAGCACCTCCAGCTAGAGGGGGGCATCACAATCGAGGCCCGTGGGCTGAAAACTAGGTCGAATTCAGGGGTATTCTCGGTAATTGAACAAAAGAGCTGGAGCAATAAGTGGGTGGAGTGGTGGTTGTGTGGCCGCGCCGCCGCAGCGTAGCCGTCGGCCCGTCGGGTGGAATTCTTTTCTTTACTTTTCTTCCTTTTTTTTATATGATTTTTTTTTTTTAACAATTTCTATTTTATATGATATTTGTGTGAGGGAGGTGTTTGTGAATAGGGAGAATTTGCGGGTCAGCGGCTGCAACCCCAGAGCGCCACGTCATCATCTTATAATCTCGTTCTTGCCTCTTTATTGTTCCTAATTTACATGCCAGTCCTTGTGTATTATGTAATAGAAATTATATTCCCCTACTCACGGTGGGCATGCCCACTAGTTTGTTTTATATGAAAAACGTATTCTGAGAATACGTTTTTCAATTAAATTCCCACCGTGGGCAGGTGAGCGGGACTGTATGTAATAGAGCATCTTTGACCTTAATTCAGCAAAAACTTTATTATATTGATCAAAATAAAAGTAGCAAATTTCGAATGTCAAATTTTAAAAGTTGCAAAATGATCAAAACGTATATCGAAAGTGTAGCGAGTTGCCTTGGAAATGCAGCAGTGTTAAAAACTCTTGAGGGAGAGCTTAACCGCCCTTGTGGTCCTACCCGACTCGATTTCAAATTAGTCGGTTCCCCTGTAGATCCGAAAACCGGAAGGTCCTTGTACCAAAAAAAAAGTGTAGCGTGTTATGATCATCAACTCTTATAGAATACATGATTCTTATAACATAGGTTATGTTTAGTAGACAAATAAGCTAGCTTATGATTTATTTGATTAGCTTATAAGCTCTCTGTATTCAAATAAGTCTCGTTTGTAATACGGACTTTTTTAAAAAGCTCATATTTGATAAACTTCTAGTTTTTCAAATAAGTTAGTTAAATTTTTTATTCCAGCTAGTTTATCAGCTAATTTTACCAAACACTTTAATCATATGAGTTATTTTTTAACTATAAATCATGAGTTATAAGCTATAAATTAAAAAATATTAATAAATTATAAACTAGTTTATCAACTAGCTTTACCAAATATAATCATATATGTCCGCGGTCACATTTTATGTTGAAAGGCTTGTGTTCTACAAAATAGCAAAACGAATTTACAAACAAGATTAATCTTTTCATACCCTCAAATTAATTTAGTTATGTTTAATTAGATATCAAACATAAAATAACAAGAAGAACATGATTTCTATCAGAAAATATATTTTAAGTTTGATTAATGCGTCCTTAAACATGTTAATGAAGCAAAGCACTACAAGCACAAACATATCACATGTTGCAATAGTTTTCCAGCTCATTTTCCTAATGAAAAATTAAGGTGTTCTTCTAAGATAATTCATTAATATATGTTCTCATCATTATTGTTATCTAATAATTACCACATTAGGATTGCATAATTATTTATTATGAAGGAAAAAATGAATTCATTTGCATATGTAATTAGTTGGTTATTTGATCGTGCTCTTCAATGAATGATATTTTCTCAAACAATAATTAAGATATTTTTCATTATGTATTATGAGTCGTGCAGGAGGACCCATCTTTTTATAGATTTGATCGAGCTTTGTAGGGGACTAG